CCGCGCCTGCATTGGAGGCGGGCGCCGCCTCAGGGGCCTCGCCCAAGCGGCGCGGCCGCAGGCCAACAACCACCAACGCAGATGGAGGCGGCGGCGACGAGGCGCCGCCTGCGGCAGAGGAGGCCCCCAAGCCTGCAGCAGCGCCGCCCAAGCGCCGCAGCCGCACGCCCACGACCGAGGGCGGGGCTGCGGCCGCCGGCGCCGGCGCCGCCGCAGGGGCGGACGCGCCGGCGGCGGCAGCGGCGGCGCCCAAGCGGCGGGGCCGCCCACCTAAGAGTGAGACCGTGGAGGGGATTGCCGCGGCAGGGGAGGCGGGAGCCGTCGCCGCCCCCAAGCCGCCCGCAAAGCGGGGCCGCAAGCCCACAGCAGCTGCGGCCGACGCCAAAGCCGACGCCGATGCCGGCACAGCCCCGCCGGCGCCCCTCTTGCGCGGTCCGCAGCCGGCGCCGCTGTTGGAGGCTGACGGTTATGCTGACGACAAGGCGGAGGGCAGGGGCAGCTATGAAGACCTGCTCTCGGCCTTTGAAACGGCAGACCAGGACGACGATTTCGATCCAGAGATCGGCGGGTACATCCGGGGTGGCGCCGGCCGCGGCCTCGCAGCGTTGGACCAGGAGTTCGACCTGTTTGACCTGATGGACAATGATTTAGGGATGGACCCGTTCGATGACGCGTACGACGTTTGGGAGGGCCCCATGGGCGGCGGCGGTGGGGGCGCAGGAGGAGTCGGCGGCCAGAGCGATGATATGGGATCTTACCTGTCTGCGTTTGGCGGCGGCGGCGCCCGTGGCACGGGGCGCGGCGCGAAGGGGCGCGAGCCCCAGCGCGGCTGGGGCGAGGGCTGGGCGGGGCGCGGCGGCGGCGGCGGCGGCGGGGGTGAGCGGCAGCGGACAGAGCAGGCGGCGGCCGCGCCGCGGCAGGCAGGGGCACGCCAGGGACAGCAGCCGCCGCAGCAGCAGCAGCGGCGACAGCAGCAGCAGCAGCAGCAGCTGCAGGCGGCACCCTCCGCCCCAGCAGAGGCACTGCCGACGTGGCAGGCAGCGCGACGTGCCCCGGCACGCCCCCCCGCCGCGCAGGCACCGCCGCCGCTGCGGCAGCAGCAGCAGAAGCGGCTGCCCGCCGGCGGCGTGGGCCCGGGGCCCCTTGGTGCGGACCTCGGCGACGCGGACGACGATTTTGACGACGATTTTGAAGACCTGTTTGACGACCAGCAAAAAGATGACGATTTTCACTTGGAAGGCAGTCGTAGGGCCCGGGGGCACGGCGCCTTTGACGACGACTTGGAAGATCTCCTGGACAGCAGCTCCGCCCCTGTCCCGGCGCCGCGGGCCCCCGGCGGGCCACGCGGCGGCGGCGGAGGGGGGAGGGGCAGCTTCTATGGTGCAAGGGGCGGCGGCAGCGGCGGTGGCGGCCGGGGGCGCGATGGCAGGCCGCAGGGGCGGCGGCCGCCGCGGGGCAGCGAGTTGTAAAGCTGGCGACTCCAGTTGCGATGCGAGACCGCGCCGCTGCATCGGTCGTGCTGCCTGTAGCCACAATGGCGCGGCTCAGGCATGGGACAAAGTGATCTCTGGGAAGCAGTCAGCACAACAGGCGCCACCAGCTGACTTCAAGCAGTAGGACCGCAATTTTTGGAAAGCAAGGGTCCGGTGCATCAGGCCAGATGGTTGCAGGGCAGGGCGTCGCAAGGGAGGCAAACACACTTGCCCTGCACACACACACACACACACACACACACACACACACACACACACACACGCGCGCGCGCGCGCCTCGACACAGCAAGCAGCGACAGTCGAGGTGGGGCTGGCCAGCATCTTGCAGGGGGCCGTGCTGTGTATGCGAGATGCAAGCCACAAAAACCACACATTCGCGTACAATCCCTGTTCAAACCCCGCTTGAATGCTGGCAGCGCCACGTCCCGATCTCGCTAACCAGCCGAGCGGCACGCCGATCACTGGACTAGAGGCCACTGCTGCACCAGTGGGCATGCCCGGATTTTGCTGCGGATGCTACCACGACATCCGTTACCATCGCCGTGGGCAAGCCCAGAGCCTTCAACGCCTCACGTGCCGCGGCGCGAGCGGCCAGGGCCCCGTGGCGCCTTGCGGAGCCCCCAACATGGGGCAGAGCGCCGTCACGTCCTGCCTTGCTTCTCCCGCAGCTGCCACCTCCTTGCTCCCCGCAGCCCCGTCCTTCCTTGCAGCCGCGCTGCCGCCGCCGCTGCCGCCAGCGGTGGCAGGGCGCAGGGTCAAACAGCCCGCGCGCTCCTCGGCAGCAGCGCCGCCCTCACCCCCACCGCAGCCGTCGTCGCCGCGCGCGCCCTTGAGCGCAACACCGTCGCCGGCGGCGGCCGTGTCTGGCGGCAGGCTGTCAGCCCTCTCGCCCGAAGCCGCACCTGCCTGGAGCCGCTGCTGTTGGTGCTGCAGCACCAGCTGCTGCACCAGCTGCTGCTCCTGCTGCTGCAGCGAGGGCAATGATTGCAGATTCGGGCCGCTCAGCGGCACGCTGCCGCACAAGGCGCCGCGTGCCCCGCAGACCTTCATGCGTAACTTGCCTTTGGTAATGGGCGCCGAGGGCGCCGCCGGCGGCCTGGCCGAAGGTGCTGACGCTGCCTCAGTGGCCGCTGCGATAGCAGCCGCCCCCACCTGTGCAACGGCCAAGCCCGTGTCAGTGGGGTTTGGCAATGCCCCGGCGGCCGGCGACGCCGCAGCGCTGGCAGTGGCACCTGCCGGGAAGGCGCTGCAGATGGCAGTGGTGCTGGAGAGGCCAGATATGGGCCCCATGCCCAAGGGCACTATGGCGGGTGCGGCATCCTGACGGCGATTGTGATCGCGAGCCTCCTGCTGCTGCTGCTGCTGCTGCTGCTGCTGCTGCTGCTGCTGCTGCTGCTGCTGCTGCTGCTGCTGCTGCTGCTGCTGCTGCTGCTGCTGCCGCTGCTGACGCCCGCGCTGCTGCTGCTGCTGCTGCTGCTGCTGCTGCTGCTGCTGCTGCTGCTGCTGCTGCTGCGCATCCCGCTCCTGCGCTGCTTTTCGTGCATCCAGGGGCCCCTGCCCTGCCACCGCCACATCTGGCACAGGAAATGCCGGCACCAGCGCGCCACCCTTTGCACTGGCGCCTGCGCCAAGCAGTGGCAGTCCCCCGGAGCCGCTGCCGCCGCCACCCGCGGTCGCGGCGCAGTCCCCAGTGGGCGACACTGCGCTGGTGGCCCATATGGCGGCCAGCATGTTGGTAGATTGAATCGCCATCAAGCGCGTTTCGGTGAGCTCGCGGCGAAGCTTTGCACAGTCGCGGCTCAGGGCGGCGACCTGCACAGCAGGCGGCGCACGTGTGTGTGCGATTGCAGAACTCTTATGCATGACGGATTGGAGTCGATGATTGTGGGGTGTTGGCTGACCTCAGGATGTTGGCAGGCATTGCACCAGTAGGGGGGCGAGCAGAGCGCCATGCGTGCTACGACATGCACGATTGCATGGACGCATGCAGTGATGCACGCATGCAGGCGTTGATACTGCATCAGTATGGGCGGCATGCGGACCACCAGAGAGCAAAATTGAGCCCGTCCCCTGTCATGCCCAGCAGCGCTCGCTCTCATTCAGCACCCCGCCGTCACGCATGCGCAACGCCGACCTTCTTTCTTTGCGGCGCCGCCCGTGAGCGCACCTGTGAGCGCGCCTCCCGCAGCTCATCTTCCGCCTTCTCCGCGCGCCGCTCGCCCTCCACCGCCCGCGCCTCCGCCGCACGCAGGCGCTCACGCAGCCCCTGCACCTGGCCCTCAAAGCCGTCCCTCGCAGCCGTCAGCTGTTGCTCCAGACCCGCCGCGCGCTGCTCGGCAAGCGCGCGCCCGGCCTCCGCCTTGTTGACAAACAGCTTCTCGGCAATCGTCGCGTCCTGCGCCTGCTGCACCTGCCTCTGGAGCTTCAGCTTCTCGGCCCTGGCCGCGGCCTCAATTTTCTGGGCCGCCGCGCGCAGCGAGGCCGCCTGCAGCGCGGCCGCCGCCGCTGTGCGCTGCTCACTGGCCGCCATCTCCTCCAGCGCGGCGCTGTGCGCCAGGTTGACCTGGTTGCACACCTCCTGCTGCGCTGCTGCGATCTGGCGCGCCGCGCGCGCCCGCTCCTCAGCGGCCGCCCGCCTCGCCTCCTCCACGAGCGCCGCCAGCCCCCGCTCGCGCTCCGCCGCGGCCAGCGCCGTGCGCGCGTGCTCCCGCGCGGCTTCCGCCCCCGCCGCCTCCACCGCCTCCCGCGCATCGCGCGCCGCGCGCGCCGCGGCGTCCTGCGCGGCTAGTTGCGCGGCGGCCGCCTCAGCGCGCTTGCGTTCCAGCCTCTGCACATCCGCGCGAGCGGCGCCCAGCTCCTCCCTCAGGCTGGAGGCCTCGGCCTCAGCGCGCGCACGCAGCGCCGTTTCTGTGTTGAGCCGGTTGAGCATGTCATCCAGCTCCTCCACGAGCTGCCTACGGTCCTCCCGGCATGCCTCAAGGGCATCCTTGTTCGCCCCCAGCTTGGCCTGCATGCAGACGCATGAAATCAGCGGACATGGGGCGGTTGAAGGTGGTCGGCCTCGCGTGTCACGCCATGCTGCGGAGCGCATGCGTGCTGCGCATGCTGAGCGCGCTTATGCTCATGGAGCGCCCTGTATGCATACCTTGAGATCAATCAAGATATTCAAGATCGTTTCTTGGGTCCAAGGGGGGCCTGGGAGTGGCGAGGCGGCTCGGGCTGCGCCGCTGATGGCATCAGAGGTGGCGGCCGGCGCGTGCGCAGGGCCGTCTCGGGTCTTGTCAGGGGCCTTGACAGCGTCTATCGCATCGGGGGTTGCCATCGGGGGGTCCTGCTCGCCCGAGGTGGTTGGCGACGCTTGGTAGACGTTGCGATCTACGCGGGATCAACCGATTGACAGAGGGAGCTTGTGGGCATATACGATGAATAAAATAAGGTGACATTGTTAGTATCACTGGCTGCTGCTGTTGCTACGTGGTGGCCAGCTACCTGCACCCTGGTGCAGCCAAAGCACGCAAAGCACACATCGCACTGTCGTTTGTGGGCCCCACGAGGCATTTCAGGCTCACTCTGCAGTGCTGGACCCACCCCATCAGAGGTTGCTGGCCTTCTGTGGCAAAGAGCATTTCTTGGCTCTCGCAACAGTCTGTTGCACCTCCCGCACGCCGAGCCACATCACAAGGCTGGCAGCCGGACCTCATGGCTGCTCTATGGCTCAACTCGCCAGGATCACCACATCACTCGCCATGCCAGACCGCATGACACATCAGGCCGCATTACAGGGTTCCATGATATAAGTGTGGCCACATGCTCTTGGACGCACAAGCCCTGCGCCTTTCGACTTGCGCACCCCTCCCAAAACCAGCAGCTCACGCGCGCACCGGCTGCTGCTTGCCGCCGCCCGCCGCCGCGCCGCTGCCGTGCTGCTGCTGGAGCTGCTGCTGCACCTGCTCCTGCTGCGACTCGATCATGTCCGACACCTGCTCCAGGCTCTGGCTCAGGCCCGCCAGCTGCTGCGCGAGGGAGCTCCACTCGCTGTTGCCGAACGCGCGGCGGTGGCAGCGCGTGGCCGTCAGCGTGCGCGCAACCTGCGGAAGGGAGGGCGCCAGGCGCGGCGCGCAGTGAAAAAGGCGTCAGGCATCAGCTCGAAGGGTCTCGGCGGTGCCCATGCACATGCCAGCGCACCCCCCACCTGGCTCGCCTTCTCAAGCTGCGCCCCGACAGGCCTGCGCCGCAGCCCCATGCAGCTGGCAGAATCGTGTGGCTGGGCGCCACGCGGCGCATGGCGATGAAGTAACACCCGATGTCAAAGCCACCCCGAGCACCACCCACCTGGTCAATCTTGCCCTCAATCAGCTTGCGGCCGATGGCAGTGATGATCCAGGGCTGGACCTGGAGGGGCCGGAGGGTGGTGTGGCAGGAGGAGGGTGAATGGATGGATCGGGTGCGCAGACGGGTGCACGCATGTGAGGCGCGACTTCTGTTTGCCGCGCACCAGCTGTCAGCTGAGATAGGCAGCAGTGTGGTCATGTGGGCTCCACGGGCGCATGCCACAGAGCAATTTGAATGCAGGCCGTGTTTTGAATGCAGGCCGCAGCTTTTGCATGCTCGAGTGGGCTGTTGCGCGCCCACGGCAGCCCGCACCCTGAGGCGGCCCCCACCTGGTCCTCTGGGATGTCGAGCGCCGCCTGAACCTCGGACAGCGCGACGGCGCCGCCCGCCGCACGCGACGCGACGCTCAGCAGCGCCATCAGCCTAATCTTCTCCAGGCTCGCCTCCTGCGGCAAGGAGGCGGTGCAGGCCGACGCATACGGGCGTGAGCGCCTCCGCAGCTTTCATCTCGGATGCACAGCACGGCGTGCGAAGCAGCCCCGGCTGTGTGTGCCCCGCCTCCTTACCCCCCTCTCCCGCCGTGGCTCGCGGCCGGGCACTGGTGCGTGCATTGTGAGAGCTCCCCCCGCACCTGTGTCACGGGGACGCCCTCCAGGACCGCCGCCGTCGCCGCCGCCTTGTAGCCCGCCATGTCGCCGGCCAGCATCGCGCGCAGCAGGCGCAGGTACGGCGCTGCGGCCGCGTCCTGGTCCAGCTGGGCGACGGCGGGCAGCTCGATAAAGTCGCAGGTGAAGTTGTCGGGAGCGGCGATCCAGTCCTTGACAGCCTGGGGGTTGGGTGGAGCGCGCGTGTGAGGCACGCAGGGACGCGCGTTGGCCACATGCGCAGGTCGGAGTTGAGCGGACGACGAAGCGCGGCGCGGACACGGCGCGCTTTATTGGAGGCCGGCGCGGGGGAGAGCGGGATCGTGTAGGTCTCAGGGGCGCCCGCAGGGAGCCAGGCGTGGCGGCGTGCCGTCGCAAGCGCCACCAGCGGCCGGGCGTCCGCAAGCGCCACTGTGGAGCAACGGGCGCGCGCGCTCCCACCTGCGTCGCCAAGCCCTTTGCCGCCGCGAGGCCGGCCGCGTCGCCAGCCGCGACCAGCGCGAGCGCGTCGGTCGCCAGCCGCAGGTACTCCCGGTGGCTGGGGCGGTCACCCACCACCTGGCATGGCGGGGTGGGTGGTTTGGGGGCCGGTTGGGCGGCTGGATGCAGGCATTGGGCTCAAGTGGGTGCCCGGGGGCCACGCGAGCGCAGCGCCCGCCACACGTGCAAGAGCAGCAGGGAGAGAGAAAAAGAGAGGCCTCAGATCGCGTGTTGTACCCATCGCCGCAAGCGGCGTCGTCCAATGTAGATAAGGTTGTTGAATAGGTTGGATCATCTCCGGCCTCTCCACCCCGCCGCGACGCGTGTGCAGTGGCCCCCAACCGCCCGCTTTGTAGCACTTGCGCGGAAAAAACCACGTGGCTGAGGCCATAAAGTGAAGGCGGCCACTATGCCGTGTCTCGGTTTGCACGCGCACCCACCTTGAGCAGCTGCGCGGCTTCCGAGTACAGGTCGTGCGCCGCCTTGTCGCTGAGCCGCCACTGCTGCGCCCAGTCGTGCACGTGGCCGCGCACCGCGGTCGCCAGCTGCCCCGCCAGCGGCTTGCTGGCGCGCGCGAAGCGCAGCACCTGCGGGGGTGAGGAGGCATGCGTGCAAGGCAAGTCGGCTCCATGCCGCCCATCTGCTGCAGCTATTTGTGCAGTCCTTGGCTTCTCTTTTGCTGCCATCGCCTGGCCTGTGCCGACAAGCGTGCTGCAGGCGCCTCGACGACTCAGGTCCTTGGTTCCTCCAACCCACGAGCCTGCCCGCCCTGGACCGCCGCCCGCTGCCGACCTGCAGCAGCACGTGGTACTTGGTGACCGGCCCCTTGGCGGCGGCGTACAGCGCCAGCAGCCCGTTGAGCTTTCCCTCTGCAGACTCCTCAGGCTGCGACACAGAGGAGCCGTGGCAGCGGGCGAAGGCGAGTGGGTGGACGTGTCGGCCACAGCAATTGGTGTCAAACCGCCCCTCCCAACGCTGACCCGGGCCGGCGTTGCCCCTTGCTGGCTGGATCAGCAGCTGGATGCGAGCGGGGTGGTTGCAGTGGGTGGCGACTGTGGTGTTCAGGCGCGTGAGGGCGACCAGCGGAAGCCCACCTTGGCCGAGAGGGCGGCCGCCAGCTTGTCCGCCGCCGCGCGCTCTGCATCCTCGCCGCTGGTGGACACCACTTTCTTCACCAGGTGCGCTAGCACCGCCAGGCAGCACTCGGCGTCTGCGGCGGCGGCGCGTACCGCAGGTTTTCATGGCTGACTAGCAAAAAGGGGAATGTGCTAGTTCGCCGCTGCCAGCTCCCGTAGAAGCTGTGGAGGCATTCAAATTGCACAGCCTTGACAGGATACTCAAGCGGCTCCAAGTGCGCAGCGTCTCGCCAGCACTGCAGCGGCGCCCGGGCGGGCGGCAACCGCACACAATGCATCGAGAGTGCGCGCGCACCCTTGGCGCTGGCCGAGCCGAAGATCAGGCCGATGTGCGAGCCAAGCAGCGTGATGAGCTCGTCCCAACGGTTTGCGTCGACCAACTTCTGACTCTCGGCCGCGAATAGGGCGCCAGGAGAGTCCGCCTTGGCCTCCTCCTGCGATGGAGGCGGATGGATCGCGGCCCGTCGATCTCACGTCGTTCTAAGACACTGCCTCATACTTTTAAGCCGCCCGCACCTGCCCATCGTTGAGCAGGTTCTGCAGGAACGCGATGACGGCCGTCACGCTGTCCTCCTCTGAGACCTCGGCCAATCGGACGGACGACATGCTGCTGCTGTTGCTTCTGTTTCTGCTGAAGCTCCTTTTCACAACAGATGCAGCGCAAAACACGATGTGCAGATCAAGCGGGTGTTGGTCTGGCTATCTACCGCGTTGTAGCGGGTTATAAGACGCGTGTCCTGGTCATCTTCGGCCCCCGCGCGCTAGCTCGCAAGGCGCCTTGCTCGGCAGACGCAAAAGCAGCAGCTTAGAAACTGCTCAGTCACTCATGTCACCCGCGAACTTGCATCTGAGCCAATGGGCGCCTCAACGACGCTTGCACAGACACACTCCAGCATTAACTAGCGTCGTAAGCCAAGACCGTGCCCTGCAGAACCCTCTTCGCCGAGATCGCCCTGATTCTGTCTCTGCACACAGCGACGACCGTTCCTCAACCGCGCCGACATGGCTTCCTGCGCCTCAATCTCTGTCAGCAGCAGCTATGGGCGGTGCAGCCTGAACGCGCGCGCGCAACCAAGGGTGAGAGACTTGCACACGGACTTGTTTTTTCCGCCAGCGAGGACGGTAGCGCCCGGTCGTCTGATGGGGCGATGGTTCAGGCTCGAATTCTTCGGTCCAGAACGGCCGGGCCCTGTTGGCGTGTGCCCGGCGTCGCAGGGCGCGTGCCGGCACGCGCCGCCCTTGCTGGCAACTTGCTCTGTTCCGCTCCACAGGCCGCCTGCATTTCAAACTACTGGACAGATTGGCGGCTTTGGCACTGTTGGCCACACCCCTGCTGTGACGCCAGCTGCGATCGCCCTGCATCATGCGGGGAAGGCCTGAACACCCCCCGCCGGGCTGATTGGATCGGCCCCCTGCACAGTCGAGCCCCTGTCCTGCTCACTGCGGTTCGTCCGCCCCCACCATCACTCCTCCCCACCGCGAGCAGGGTCTCGGCGGCTGTGGATTCAACCATAGGCGTGCCATGGTCTGCCGCGCGGAGCAGCAAGGTGACAATGCGGGCGGCAACAGCGGCAACACGGACTGGGACGCAGCCTGGACGCGTTATCAGCAGGCGCGCTCGTCAGGCGGCGCGCGTGCGACGACGCGCACGGCCTTCCCCAGCACCCCGCGCGCAGACCCGACACAACGGCTGGTTAGTGGCGGCTGACAGGACAAGTGGGGGGTGGGCCAGGAGAGAATTACTTGGTCGGCTGAGCCGCCCCCAGTTGTTTTGGCTGGTGTCGCAAGGGGGCCCTGAATATGCGGCGATGTCACGTGCAAGGGTGTATGGGCAGCCCCTCGAATTGCGGCGCTGGCGACGCGTGCGTAAGAGTGGGGTCTACTTGGGTGGCGCACCTCCTCTGCTGCGAGCCCGTCAGGCCCCTGTCAAGCTGCCGAACCTTACATGCCCTTACCAACCCCTCACAACCGCCGCAGGTGCAGGCCACCATCCGGCGCGAGGAGAGCCTCCTGCTCAACCTCTGGACCAACGCGGCATTCCAGGGCGGCATGGCCTTTGTGGCGGTGGTCGTGTTCGCCGCCTTCATCTGGACGGCCGGCCCGCCGCCGATCGACGACCGCTGCACGCTCCCCTGGTGCTGACGGGGCCGCGAAAACCCATGGCGACATGGAGCGCCCTCGCGCCCCGACAATACGCGGCTCTCGGACTGTCTTGGCGCGGTGGCTGCCGTGTCGCAGCTGGAGAGTTGGCAGGAAGCCGCGCGGCGGCTGCTGCTGCGGCGAGTTGACGCGCAGGCGGCCCGTGCCGCCCCTGTGCTGCGACGTTAAGGGGCACGCGACCGCAATGGCCGCCGGGGCACTGACGTTGCATGAGGCGCCTGATGAGCGTTGCGGCTTCGCCCCCAAATGCTGCTTGACTATTCTTTGGTGTCCTGGCAATGGGGATGGGTTCCTTCCTCCCATGTATTATCATTTGCACGACGCAAACAAGCAATTCAGGCCCAGGTCCTGGCAGTCAGGCACGGCCCTTTTGCGACCCCCACGGCGGTTGCAACGGCGCCCAGGGAGTGCTGCATCAGATGCTTAGGCCCAGGGGCGCGCGCTGCTCGCGCTTTTTTGCTGCCAAGCCTCCCTGTGGGCGGTGCCAGCGACCCTTGTCCTGCGCACCCCAGGGTGTGGGCGAACGGTCTCGGCGCTCGGGGTATCGCCCTGAGCGCAGCTGCGCGCGTCTTTCAGAAATTGGCCTCAGGATTTGCGAGAGCGTTACAGAAAGTGCTCGCAGCCACCGCTGCCACCGTGGTGTGTGCATGGGGCGCTTGCGCCTCCCAGTCTGCGTTGGAGGGATGCCGCGGAGCGCAAGGGGCCAGGTGGCACCGCATACGAGCACGCACGAGCGACGGGCACAAGCGCCTGTGATGTGATTGCAAGTTGTGTATGGTCGTTGACCCGAGCAGCTCAATGCACTGACAGAGGCGCATGTGCGCATCCATCAACCGAGCGTCCGTGCTGGCCTCCCATGCAGGAAGGGCCGGTGCATGCAAGACCTTGCCTTTTTTGCTCACGCCGCACTGTCCTGCGGTGGTGGCATTCAAGACTGCCTGCTCTTCCTCCTTTTGGGTGTAAAGTAATTCCCACCATCGTATCTCGTGTGCAGGTAATTGGGAGCGCTGTGTCTGTGTCCGTGCACGAGTGCAAAGGAAGGCAGCGGCTGCTGACCTTGCTGACGACCCATCACAGTCAAACAGTCGTGGCTCTGTGATGGGGTCGCGGGGCAGAGCACATTCACAGCTGCTGCGCCTGCACCCAATAACACAGCACACAATGCTTCCAGCACCGTTTGGGTGCATGGCGCGATCTTGACAGATGACATCCAGGGTCGGCCTCAGCCAGGTGATGAGGCCCTGCCAGGTGGCAGCCGGCGCGGCGATGGTTTGCTACCCGCCATCTCGTAAAACATACATCGTATGATAAAGCACACACACTGGTATACAATGCTTCCCACATCGCTCCACATATAGTCACTAAAATAGGCTGATTGATCTCGTGACCCGCCCTCGATCTTGAGCATGGTCGGATCCTACGGTATACGCAAACGATAGCTTGAGCTATGATATCCGAAGCTGAGATGGCCGATCACACGCTACAGGTGCATAAACACGCCGCCAACGCTGTCACGCTGGCGCTGTTTGCACGCTTGCCAGTGCCGGGGAAGGCCAAGACGCGCCTCGCTGCCGGCGTCGGCCCCGGCCCAGCGGCGCGATTTTATCAGGCCTGTGCAGAGAACACGTTCAGAGAGGCACTGAGGTGAGCCAAGGCCCTGGAGTGAGGGATACAAGCAGGCCGCAGCTTGCGCAGCCACCACAGCGCCGGCAGCCGGTGAGCTCCCCCTGGCCCGCTTTGCTCCCACCCCATCGGAACTCGGAGCCCACTGCGCCCCCCACGCTATCACTCCTTTAATGCTGACCGACGCAAACCCGGGGCCGGGTCCGCAGCTGCCCAGACATGTCGCCAGAGGTCCACTGCTCCGACGCAGAGGAGGCGGCCGCAGTGGCGGCCTGGCTCGGGCGCAGCGGCTGCGCCATGCCCGTCGTGGCGCAGATAGACGACCGCGACCTCGGGGCGCGCATGCTCGCCGCGCTATGCGCTGCGGCGCGCGGCGGCGCGCATGCATCCAGCGAGCCCCCGCCGCCGTCGCTGCCGCCGGCGCCGCGCGCAGTGATGGTGGCCGGCACAGACGTGCCCGGCCTCAGCGCGGCCGTGTTCTCGTCAGCGGCCGCCGTCCTGCTGGGCGGGGAGCACGATGTCGTCCTCGGGCCCGCGGCCGACGGCGGTTACTACCTGCTCGGCATCACAGCCGCCGCGCTGTCGAGCCCCGCCGCCGCCGCGCTGTTCGAGGGGATCGCATGGAGCACGCCCGGCGTGCTGGCGGCGACGCGCGCAGCGGCGGGGCGTGCGGGGCTGAGGGTGGCGCCGGATGGCGCGCTGCCCGTGCTGCGCGATGTGGATACGTTGGAGGATCTGAGAGAGTGGGTGAGGCACCAGCAGCAGCAGCAGCAGCAGCAGCAGCAGCAGCAGCAGCAGCAGCAGCAGCAGCAGCAGCAGGAGCAGCGGAATCAACCAGGGGACCAGAAGCAGCAGCAGCAGCTGCAGAAGCAGCGGATTGAAGAATCTGGGGAGCAGCAGGGGCAGCAGTGGGGAGAACAAGAGCGCGAGCGGCGGGGAAGCCAGAGCGAGGCGCTTCAGCAGGGTGGGTGTGTACGGCGCGAGGAGCATCCTTTGGTGCCGATTGCACTCGCCACGATCGGCGCCTCGGGGGCAGAGGCGCCCCATGGAAGCCGGGAAGACTGAGACAATACTTCAGCAGCTGAGGAGAGCGAGGCGGACTGATCGCATGGCGTTCCCTTCTACAAATTGCAGTTGGGGGGCAAAGGTGCATGGTAACCGGCAGGGCTGCATGCTTATATCATGGTCATGCGTGTACGTCAGGCCCCGGTCCCCTTGCGCTGCATGAGACTTCAAAGGCACCACAGCAGGTGCCTATTGAGGGCCACCTTTCCCACGGTTTGAGGTGCCTCTGGCTCTTTGGCCTTTTTTCCAGCCTCTGCTTGCTTAAATTTTGTAAGCTGACCTGCAAACTCAGAGCTTGGTCGCGGTGCTGTGCGTGACCAAAGACGCGTGGGCGACCACATGTGGCTGGGGCGCCATCCGAAAATATCAGGCCCCCACTCCTGCCGAGGCGGTGCTTTCAGGCCCCTGGCTGCTCAACCTGCCTGGAAAACTAAACATAAATTGGCCCCCCTGATGGAGGTGGATTCCACCCGGGAAGCCAACTACGCCGCCTGGCGCCAGAAAAGCGCCTGTTGCGCCAGGCAGGCCTGCGGTGACTGCGGTTACGGCCGGCACAAACGCGCCGAGTAGAGGCCACACGGTCACCCCCCCGCCTGACCAATTGTCTGTGTTCATGATCAACGTTCATCAGCCGTGTAGCGAAGGCTGTTCTGCCCGGAGTTGGCCACTCTTCAAAGATCGCTGAACACTTTTTTGGCCACTCCGCTCTCACCGGCACCTCCAAACAACTGTTAATAGTTTTAAGATAGCCTTTGAGTGACGGCCTACGTACGGGGTCGCGGTTTGGTGGCGCGCGGCCTGATCGAAGCCTCTCTGTGGCACCTTGAAGGCAGGAAGAGACCTGTAGCAAATCAGCGCAGCACAAGCATAAGAGGACGACTAGATCGGTGTTAGGGCCTTTTCACAGCACACGCCGCAGTTCTGCGGTCCCACGCGCGCACCCTGGGGCGGGGCATAACGCCACCGGCGGGCCCACACGACACAGCAGGGCAAGGAGCGGCCGTCGGCCTTTGGGCGGCCTTGTAGGCCGAGTGCGGATCCGCCATGCAGGCAGATGAGCCCATGGCGGACCCGCAACAGCAGCAGCAGCAGCAGCAGCAGCAGCAGCAGCAGCCGGGCCCGAGGCTCAGCAACGGCGGCAGTGCGGGGGGTGGGGCCGGCGGCAGCGTGGCTGCGGCCGCCCCCGCAGGGCTGCGGCCGGCGGCACCGGACGAAGCGGGGCCGGAGCGCAGTGGCAGCAGATCAGAACGGCGGGCGGAGGTCTACACAATCGAGTTCGACAGTCTGGTCTACTCCCTCGCATGGAGCGTGAGTAACCCGGCGGGGCTGCCATGCGCCCTTCTAGAA